ACACACACACACACACACACACACACACACACACACACACACACACACACACACACACACAATCAATCAATCAATCAACCAATCAATCAACCAATCAATCAACCAATCAATCATCTGTTTATTTTTATTTTTTTTCCGCTGGATCTTGCCGGCGATCTCCGACCCTTTCGAACAGCAACCAAACCACTTCTCGCCCAGCGCGGGCGCAGGCCTGACCGCTGTGGTCGCCTCGCCAACCGCAGCGGGCAAACTCACGACCGCGGAGGGCAAGTACACAACCGCGAGGTCGCGACGAGACTGGAGTGGGCCTCGGTTCTCGGCCGCGTTGGCGCCTGGTGGACCCGGGGCGGGGAGGGGGCTTAGGACGCGGGGAGTACGACATCAAGGGACTTCAACGGCTCGAGGGGCGACATCACAGAGCGACATCAGCGCATAGGCTAGTGAGGACGAGTCATTCGTTCACAATGAGTCGGAGAGGGGGTGGTTCCGGGGGGGCCGGTGGTTCAGGGGGGTCAGATTTTATCCCTGTTTCCGATGCTGAGATGGCCAAGCTGAGGAGGGCCTCATGCGTTTGGAAATACGTTACGCTGGGGCAACCGGTAGGCACGTGGGACAAGTTTCACGGTGACTGCAAGTTGCGATACAACTTGTGGAAGCACCTGTGGCAGGGGAACCAATCGAAGGCTGGGAGGCACTTCTGCCAGTTGAAGAAGTGCCGTGTTGAGCAGTTCGACGTGCTCGTTGACATTTGGAACGACACGGACTACAGATTCGATGACCGACATCACACATCCATCCGCGCATACATGGAGGAGCATGGCATCAGAGACTCCCGAGCAGTTGCTGGAGGTCGTACAGGAACGGATCCTTGCACTGCAGGCAGGGACGACATGCAGGACGTGCTTGACGAGATGGAGGAGTGGGAGGGGGTGGAGTTGCCAGGGGAGGAGGTCGTGATGACGTCGCATGGGGAAGACCCTGATATGCAATAGGGGAAGAGGGCGATGGGGGAGACCGACCGGGTAGCGAATCGACCGGGAAAGAGGGTCCGCCAATCCAAGATCGACGAGGTCTACACTGCGGACAAGCAATCGGTCTTCAACGACAAGTTTCTGCAGTGGATCTATGACTGTGGCATTCCGTTCAACGCGTTCAGGAGGCAATCGTGGAGGGAGGTCCAGAAGGCGGCGGATGAGCTGCCCAGAGGAGCGCGAATGCGATTTCCTTCCTTTAAGGAAATCGGTGGAGATGGAGTGCCCGAGCAGAGGGCGAAGGTGGCGTCTTTATTACGGGAGGTCTGAGAGTCGTTCAGTCACAGCGGCGCCACCATCTTGTCAGATGGTCGGAAATCTCGTGATTCTCGACCCATCGGGAACTTCCTTGCTGCGGGTGCCAATGGCGCCCCACTCTACGCCACCATTTGCCGCGACGGTTCTGTACAGGAGACGGGCGCCATTGTCTTCCGCAGGTGGAAGGCCATCATTTGGTCCTTCCCTGCGAAGGACGTCATAGCTTTCTGTATAGACTCCGCTAGTAACTACACAGCGGCCTCCCGTTTGCTCGCCGCTGACCCCGATCCAGTGGTCCGGCGCATCACCTGGCTCCCCTGCTCGACCCATGTCTGCAACTTGATGTTGTCAGATATTGGGACATGAGTGGGGTGGATAGTTGACACCATTATCCGTGGACGAGCGATGGTGCCATTTATTAAATCTCACGGCGCAGCTCTCGCCCTTTACAAGAAGAAGAGCCCGCGCGTTTCGCTTGTGCAGCCAGTTGAGACTCGCTTCGCATCAATTTTCATGATGTTGACTTGTCTCCTCGGGAGACGCGACTCGCTGGAGGCAATGTTGCATGACGACGCGTGGGCGAGTATCCCGTGGGAGCGGAGACTGCTGCCCCAGGCGAGATGGGTGCATCTCCAGATTCGAGATGGCGAGTTCTGGCGCTATGTCGAGTTCTTGATTCTTGTGATGGAGCCCATCCATCAGCTGCTGAGGCGGATGGACAGAGGAGGGATGATGATGTCCATCGTCTACGAGTGGATCCGTCATCTCGTTCAGCTTCTGACGAAGCTGGACGTTGTGCCGGCCGATCTTCTGACCCCGTGCATGCGAGAGGTCAGGATGCGGCTCATGCACTTGTTGGAGCCCGCGCACGCTGCCGCTCCTCCCCGAAGCCCCCATCGTCAGTCTTTGAGGTACTACGCATCCCTCCACACCACGACGGAGGATGTGGAGGTTGTACAGGAGTGTGATCGTTTTCTCCTTGTGCAGACTGGAGGTGAGCCCACCAGCAGGGATTACCTCGTTGTTCGTGACCAGATGCGCCGATTCCATGCGCGCAGTGGAGACTGGGGTGACAGGCTGGTGTCGGAGGCCGAGGCGGAGGGTTGCCATGGGGATCAGGAGACGCACCATTGCGCGGCGTGGTGGTTTGCCCATGGCACTGCCCACCCTGAGTTACGTACTATCGCTATCCGTGTGATGCACATGTGGACGCCAGCCTCTCCTGCGGAGAGGAATTAGGCGGCCCACGAGCGCATTAAGACGGCAAACCGGAGAAACCTTGGCTTCCCCAAGCTGGCACAGCTGGTTGAGATCACGACAAATCTCAAACTGGCTTCATGCAGGCAGCAGGGTGGCGGCTATGTGCTTCCGTGGGTCATGGACGGTGTCGACACCGAGAGACGGCTGCCGAACGAGGACGAGGACGGTTACCCCGAGCCTGACGTGTGGGGGGCCAGACCTGTTGGTACGTTCACCGACCGGGAGAGCACAAGGCAGATCGATGTTTTTCGCAAGGATGGCACAAGCCGTCCTTGAGAGGTTTCTGCCGTATTCGGGGATCGGGCGGCCACTCTGCTCCCTTTCGACCATGTGCCTCCTCCCCCGTCCCGGGGAGCAGGAGAGGGTTCTGCGGCAGCTGCTGAGGACGGAGAGGACGATTGGACGGATGCAAAGGATGTGGCGGGAGGCACAGACAGGACGGCGGAGCAGGTGTACTTCACGTATGTGGCCGGGTCGGACGGGCATGCGCCGTGGACGTCCGTCATCACGGACGATGTCGCCGGCGGGGCACAGGGTAGCGCCACTCGACACCCTCCAGCGGGTCAAGGTCATGGCGCCGTATCTCGCGACGTTCACCCCCGCGCGAGGAGAGTTCTAGGGGTGAACTCGAGTGACGAGGGCGAGGGCGTGGCACCTCACGCTGACCGCCTGCGGGACCCTCGGCTCGATCCGAGCCACCACTCCACGAAGCTTTCAGAGCAGCTTCGTCGGTCACACAGGTTGGCAGAGCGTAGCGTTCAGGCGTCCCAGCATCCTCAGGACATACCGGTCGCGGAGGGGACACCGTCACACTGCGGCCCCGCTCAAGCTGCGACATCCTCTCTGCGCACCAACGATTTTTATATCTCGGGTTCGCATGGGGGCTCACCTGTCTTATGATGCAGAGTCCATGACAGAGCGGAGTACAGGACGGATGTGAGGGAGAGGGAGGAGACTATTGAGGAGAGGGACGCTCGCCTGGATCGCGAGGAGGAGTCATGGTTGCAGTCCATGCCTCGATGGGAGGGCAGAGAGGCGTATGAGGCCGAGCAGCGGAGGAAGAGGGAGTTAGAGACGATAGGAGCGGGTCCACCATCGAGCGTTGGACGTATGCCGACTTCTGACACGATGCAGCCCCCCTCTAGGCCCTCTGATGTTGTGGGTGGTGGTGCTCACACATGCGGATTGGACGCTGGAGGCGGGGGGCAGGCAGATGTGCCATGCGAGGGTGGTCCTGTCGGGGGTGTCGAGATAGTGGGGGCAGACACAGGAGCTGAGAGCTCTGACGACGGCGAGGAGTGTGAGGACGCCGAGGCTACCGTAGACGACGTCGTGATTGGCATATGCGCGGCTGGCACAGATGGCGGGACTCATGGAAGGGAGGAGGGGATGGTGGACAAGGGCAATGTGCCTTTGCCTGAGGAGGAGTTGGTGGACGAGGGGAGTGTTCGTTTGCCTCAGGAGGAGTTGGACGAGGGCGATTTGGCTTTGCCAGAGGAGGAGTTGGTGGACGAGGGCAGTGTCCCTTTGGAGGGCGGTGTGCCTTTCATTGATGGCACGACACAGGATGACGAGGAGGGAGCAGCGGTCGACGCAGGGCACAGTGCCCCGTCCGTTCGAGATGGCGTGACCGGAGGGCATGTTGAGGAGGTAGCAGCCATCGACATGTCCCTCGCGATTATTGTTAGGCCCCCGTCGGTGCAAGATGTCGAGAGAGGATGGCATATTGACTCGGGTGGGCCGGGCTCTTTCTCTGCAGGTGGGCAGTTCGGGGAGATGCCTTGGTGGGATGGCGGGGAACCGGGGGAGTGCACTTCGACCCCATTACATCCGGAGCAGCTAGAGAGGTTGGGCACGGAGGACCCTTTCCCGTTCACTGGTGGTCAGCCCTCGCCTCCCCCGTGGGCTCTAGTGAGCCCTAGGTGGACCGGATCATCGCAGTCCGACATCCGCGAGCGGGAGTCTTTGGAGAGCCAGGCGGCAGTGTTTTCAGGCGGGCCTGGCAGCAGCCATGTGCAGCCACTGACGCATCCTATATCTCGAGCATCGCAGCTGACCACAGCACCGGCTGCAAGTCTTCCACCGATTGGAGGTCGAGGCAGCGGGCGGGGATCTTCTTCGAGTCATCGAGGTGGCGTTTTATGGGGGTGGTCGTCTTGTCGGCGAGTGACGGACAGTCAGAGGAGGGACTACGATAGAGGACGGGGGCTGTTCGCACGAGGACCATCGGGAGAGGGAGATCCTGCAGCGGGTGCGAGTGAGGTTGGACGACCGAGTGTCCACACAGCAGGACATATACTCGGATTGGATAGAGTCGAGACGAGGAGGACAGAGAGGTTGGAGGTTTATCCGGCTCGATCAGCCATTGACGATAGACGGCAGGGACTGCCGTACACATCGGGGGAGGAGGACTTGCATATGCCACAGGGTTCGAGACGTCATGGCTCGATCAGGGATCTTGATGCGGAGATTGCTGCTGACCAGCAGCGGTTGGCGGACCTCATTCCCGAGCGTGAGAGGAGGTTAGAGACGGAGGCACAGGCTGAGGAGGCGGACACAGAGATTGAGCCCATTGACACAACCATGCGGAGAGAGAGGCATCGGAGAGTAGCGTCCGCGGCAGGCTCACACCTTGCACCCGTAGGGAGAGAGGGAGCACCACACGATAGGGGTCGGGGTGGGAGGAGAGGAGCATTGGCAGGGAGAGGGAGTGCAACACGTCATAGCACTCATACTAGGCGCGGTAGCAGGGGTTAGCGACTTGTGTAGCACAGCAAATCAGTTTTGTACTTTCATGTTTTTTGTATACTATCTTTATTTCATTTGTACATTACTGTCATGTTCTTAGTTGTTAGGTTTCAGAGTTGCTATACGTTGTTAGTTTTACACGGAAGGAGTTAGCGACTTTGTGTAGTAGGGCAGACTAGTTTT